GAGTTCAGAGAGGGTTTGTCGCGGTGGGTGTTCACTGCTTCCACGTTCAGGGTAATCGTCTCCACTTTACAACCTTTACCAAAAAGGAGAGAAGTTCACATGAGGAAGGGTAATTTGTTAAACAACATTTTTTTGTTTTAAACATTGAAAACAGCATGGAAAGTGAACAGGAATAAATTTGGTTTTGTTTTTTTTTTTATTTTTTACAAGTAAACCAGCTCATAAATAAACTATTCACCCTATTAATGGAATTTTACACTTTAATGACCCCCTGGCTTTGACCTGCACTGCAAAAACACAGCTCCGTGTTACCTGGGCTACAGGTTGATCCAGAAAAGCCACTGCACCCCACAGCCAAATCCAAGTTTGGAGGCAGAAACAGCCTTCATCAACAGGCAAAATCCAGAATTATCATTTATTTACAAGAGAGGCCACGGGAGAACACCCTTCCATCTCCCCTCCCACTGTTCCCCCCAAACCCTCCCACCTTCCAGAACCTTTTTGTATGTTAAAAACATTACCAGAAGCATTTACAGCAAGTCCGGTTGCTGCCGCACACAGACACAAACTTGCACCCGCACAAAAAGGAGGAAAATAAATAAATAATAACAAAAAAACCCGATCTTTACCGTACGCAACAGGCGTGAGCTTGAGGATGGTGTGGAGGGGGCAGCGCAGGTAGGGCAGCTCGTCTAGGACAGAGGCGGGCGTTATGGGGCGTTACGGGGGGCTGCTGGCCTCCATGGAACGGGACCATCCCCAGCATTTCCAACACCCAGGGCCAGCCAGAGGAAACCTCTCCAGCAGCGCACGGGTGGGAAAGCGCTGCAGCCACAGCCACCACGGACCCAGGGGAGTCGCGTGTAAAGCTTTATTCAAAGTTTATTAACTTTATTAGAAGTTTTCCACTGCAGCACCACTCACTAGAGTTTCAGAAAGGAGCTTGCAGCAGGCTGGAGCTACCTTCCAGGCCAGCACGCCATGCAAGGGATCAGCGTTGCGCTGACTTGTGGCACTGCTGCCAACCCTTCCCAGGCTACCGATGCATCAGAAAACTTTTTCTTTACATTAAAAAAAACCAACCCCCTAGAGATTATGTAAATGCTGCTGGTGGGAACGGCTCCAGAAACAACGGCTGAGCCAAAAACCAGCAGCACACGTGTCTGCATTTCTCGCAAAGAAAGCTCCTGGCTCAGCTCCGCGCACCATGGAAATGCAATGGTTAAAGCCATTTCAGAAATGTTTTCTTTTTTTCTTTTTTAAGCAGCTCTTCCCTTGCAAAAAATTAAAACAGTAATTACAAGCCACCCTCCCAAAAGCTCTGTAAAGGATGCAGCAAGAGAAGCCAGCCCCTAACATCATACGTTTATTTTTGTACCTGCACTCTTGTCAAGAAAATAAGCCAACAGGCACCTCATAACCGCCTGGTGGGAGATAACGAGGACGTTGCCTTGCCGTTCTAGCTCCATAATTACGGGCTCCAGGCGCTGGACCAAGTCCTGGTAGGACTGAAAAAACAAACCAAAATTTTTCAAGGAGTTTTGTAAACAGAGGCTTAGGGCAGAAGTAGCATTTAGCACAGCTTCACGTTCAGGAAAACATCAGTTAAAGTATCAAAATGCAGAAGCTATGGATGATCCAGCAAATAGAGGGGAAAAAGGTGAAATTTAAGGTCAGCAATCCTCAGAGGATGGGAGGATTCAGATCACTGGTAACTCTTAACGCGTGCAGTAAGAAAAAACAAATAAAATAGTAAATGACACATTTCCACAAGGTTGTGAAGTAAAACCAGAGATGACTCCATACCACACCCTCGGTAATTTTCTTTCCAAGGTGTTTTTCCGTAGTGACAGTTCAGGCCTCGGCCGAACGAGCACGAGGCAGAACCGCCCCCCGTGTCTGAGGGGAGCATCAAGGCACTTGGCGAGCGGCCCAGTTAATGAGACTGAAAGGCATCGCTTGCACACCGCAAGAAAGGAAACCAATAAACCTTGCCTCTAAAAGAGAACTGGGGATCCCAATGTTTTCAGTTTCTCATGAGAATATTGGTAGAAAAGGTTAAAATTAAGTAAAGTCTTTAGATTTACACACACATATTTGTTTTATGGGTACTATAACTTATTGTCATTTCTTAAGGGTCTTCACCTCGCCTCCAGGATAGCGATAAAGATATTTCTCTTGATCCCTCAAGGCAAACTCATCTGGATACTTGGCTTCAATTTCTGCGTAGGTCATTTCTTCACACACCCCCTGCGGGAAGAACAACCCGTTACACCACCTCCTTTCAACAGAGGTGCCACAATGCAACACCAGCAAATGGCCGAGATCAGTGACCCCTTTACGCGACGGAAATTTTAGGTGTCGTAACTGATACAGCCACAAACCCAGCATTGGTGCACTGCACGCCAAGGGTGCTTTGCAAAGGATGGGCTTTTGGTTTTATTATTTCAAACCCCTTGTTTGGATGAAAACGAGCGTTCACATCCACAGCGACAACCCTGCCATTTCTTTTGCCTGAAAGAATGGGAGCGGGAGCAGTAACCCTTGCCCACCCAGGATGGGGGCAGAGCCAGGGAACAAGGGCCTGGGATGTTCAGCGATAATTTCTCTTTCTCAACACCAGCCGGACGTGTTCGCAGCAAGGTCTAGCAGCTCCACGCATTGTCAGCCCTGCACCAAACCACCCTAAGCCTCGTGATGGCTAGAGCGCCTTATACATGGTTATAAACGAGCAGGGGATAGCCACGTTTATCGTGACGGACTTATTCTTAAACGTTATTTTTCCACCTAGAAAAGCTAAAGGCTCCAATCAGCATTTCACTCACAGCATCGATCTCATTGAGAATCTTCCACTGCTCGTATGTGACCCCCAGGGACTCGGCCGTCTGGATCGTCCTTTTCAGCTGGCTCGTCCACACCTTCAGATCAACGATTTCCTGCGCTTCGATGAACTTCTTCAGCGCCTGAGCAAACTGGGAAAAAAAGCCAGGGGGGGTTAAGAGGGGGCGGGAGCTGCTGCCGCCGTTAAAAGCATCATTTCAAGGGCTGTGGCTGTCGCAGCGAGATCCAGCTGCGGGGCTGCCCCTCGCAGGAGTCGGATGCAGAGCCCGGCTCTGCCCCTGGTCACACAACGCTTTACAAATACAGCGACCCGGGTGCTGCCAAACACATACCTGCTTCCCGCGTGGCGACAGACCAGAATCCCCACCAATCTTGCCAACAAGATTATATTCACTCTCACCATGTCGGCAAAGGTAGATGGTACGCGGCTGGACATGAATGTTCATTAGGTAATAGACGATTTTACTCTGGATGTAATCTTGGACTCTGTTTACTAGGAACCGCTGTCCCACATTGATCACTTTAATGAAGGAAAGATCTCTGGAGTCAACATAAAATAAGAACACCCACACGACTGGTTTTAAAAATGAAGCATGTGCACCTGCGGGTGTAATCTAGCTATCTATCCTCTAGTAAAGGCATCAGCACTACCCCGGGTCGCTCCAGCAGGCAGAAGAGACACTGAACTGCCGTGCTTAAACAAGGAGCGGCATTACACTGCAGTACACAAGAGAAAAATCCTTTCGAATCACTCGGGACCCGAGGACATCACCTTCACACGAGCAATTGTGCTTTGGGGGAGCAGAGGCTGCAGCAGACGCGTTGCTGCCAGAGAACAGCAGCAGCAAAGCGAAGCAGCGCATGAGCGCAAGGACAAAATGCACCCCAGGGCTTTGCTTACTTGTCATACGCATCGGGATCAAGAGGCTGGTAAGTGACCTTGTAGCACTCAATCCTCTTCAGGAAATCATCCATCACGTTCTCCCTGTTTCTCTCCGGGTAGTCAGGGCTGGAAACTTTCACCTCCTGATCAACAGACAGCGACGCTTTGTGAGAGTTAAGCAAACTCGACGGGGAGCAAAAGCAACGCTGAAAAACATTATTCTTCCCTTTCGAAACAAATGAGCATTGTTTAACGCTGCCCTGTGGAAAAACCTGCTCCTGGAGAGAAAACAAAGGGCGACTCTGAAGGCGCTTGTAGCACTTGGCCCCGCGACAGAGGCAGCTGGCTCGCTCTTCGCTGTCCCTGCAAGCCACTCGCTGCCTGCCTTCCCTTGACAAGGGAACACGCTTCAAGGTCAAACGTTTCCCAGCTTCATCTGATTCCCATGTTCTCACATAACTGACTGCATTCTAGCTGTTATAAACCTGCAACCCGTAGCTGCTTATTTCCGAGGTGAAACGCAAGAGCAAGGCATCCGCAGACGCCGCCGTGAGCTATCGTAGCTGGCGGCCGTGCACCGAGCACCTGAGCTCCCAACAGCAAGCGCTGGCAGCCGAGCCTGGAAAATACGACACGCACCAGGATATTGGCAGCAATGACTTCTGGATCATCACAGACGGACTCCACAAAAAACACCTAGGAAGAAGGCAGGGAAGCATGTTTCAGAGAGGCAAGAGCTCTACCCTGAATCAAAATTTGAGAGCTCCTGCCCAAGGGAGCAGTGATGCCCCCTCGGTGCAACAACTCCAACCCCGAATGAAATACAGGAGCACTACCTTGAAAGCATTTTCTTTAGCAAAATTTAAGATCAGGTCCCGTCTTTCTCGAGTTGTGTTGGTCGCATCAAACACCTATCAGAAAATGAACAAGTAGCAATAAGCAAGTTTATCTAAGACTTTTAAACCAGCCCCAAATCGTTTGGGTTTCCCCATCAGGTCCCCCAAAACCCCAGGCAGCTTTGAACTACCCAGATGTAAAACAGCATTTAGTCCAGAAAAGTCTTACAGCTATTTGCCCGCACTCCTCCAAGAGATAAGCCTTCACGTCTTCCAGAGCCACCAAGGCACATCGTCTGCAGGAGAGAAACGGGCATTATCAGAGCTGGCACGTTCAGCCAGCAAGGCGCTGAACCACCGGGGAGAAGGCTAAACGCCTTCTCTCCCTGCCCATGAGGCACCCACCCCTGCATCGTTCCAGGAGCCCTGAAGGCTCTGCAGAGATCACAAGGCATCCGTATCTACAACTTGCTTCAGATTTCATTCATCACCAGGGGTTCGCAGCCCCTGTTCTTTGCGCCAGCCCAAAGTCAACAACAGAACTCCTGCGCACAGCCCCCCGGCAGGATCCCTGCAGGGGCTGCGCCACCTCCTGGCTCCCCTGGTTTCATGGGCATTAAATGTTATTTTGTGCTCCCCAAACACAGAGGCTGCCAAGACCTGAGACCAACCAGACCGACGCAGATCAGCCGGATCCCCCGATGCCGACTTACTTGCGGATTTCCATGGCTTCTTTGTTATCGTGCCTGAAGAAGTCATAGGACTTGTAAGACTTCACCGCTTCCCGGCGATACACTCCTAAATTAAACACTTCACACACAAAAGACAAGCGCGTGAGACCAACGGCATTTCACAGACAGATCTCACGGCGCTTTTGGTGAAGGGCAAAGCCGTCCCCGCACCGGGCCAGCCCCCGCACACACCTTTGGTGGGCACCCCGATCCAGTTGAGGTAGCGGGTGAGCTTCTTTGACACGTAGGTCTTGCCGCGCGCAGGGAGACCGATCATCACGATCAGGGTCGGGGAGTTGGTCATGTAGGAAGCCCATGCTGAAAAAAAATCCCCCCAAAAAACCCAACAGGGGAGCATCAGCAGCACTGCTGAGCGGTTAGGAGCAAAGAGCTACCCCAACTCAAAGCCATCCCCCACGCTGAGCCGTCCCGTCTCGTGGACGGACAGACCACCACCGTACATCCCATAAGGGGCTCAATACCGTGACCTCGCACCTCATCAGCCGCGGTGGCCCAACCGCTCGGCGGTCTCCCAGGCATCAGCTAATGAGGCGGGTTAGCAACGGGGCGCCCGCCGCGCCTAATGGGGCGAATGCTGGCCTTTCAGCGTTAGAGATATTTACCCAAAAAGCAGGAGCTGTCAAGGACGTAAGAAAGATGCTCTGAACCAAACGGCCACGTTATCTCGGAACAGAGGCGCGGCGAGCGCAAGGAACGCCCGGGGTTTGGGGGGCAAAAGCAGGGCATGCGGCTGGCTGCGGCACCC